AGTGTCAGGATCTAGTAGCGTAGAATCTGGCTCATTTTATGCTCTGGTTGGCTTCAACATCCTGTAATTTGTGAAGGTTAATTACGAAGAGTGATCTGTTATGTAATTGAAACTACCCAGTGACAGTTATATGGCACCCACGACTGTTAACGAAACCGCGGAATACGTGGGACTGTTCAGGAACTTGGGATTTGAGCCCAACGTCAACCAGCACCAGCTGGACGGACATCCTCCCCTCACGATTTCATTTCCAACACAACCGCATACTGCAACTGTGCGAGACAAAAATTCACAAGCGAAATTGGCGTGTACATAGCATTTAGCGTCGTGGACGATTTCCTTTGCTCTTGCTGGCAATTGGCTGCACGACCAATCCCGTTGATTGCGCTTGTCCCCGCGATTCATTCTGCTTTTTTATTTATAATAGGTTCTTTTTTGTAAAAATGCTTTGTAGTGCTCCTGCAGTGTGTGCTCCTCTACCAAGCATTTTCACAAAGATTTTTTCAAGCTTCAAGCTGCTAAGGATACCCTTGTTATCGTGTGCGTGGTTTTCTCTGTTGTATTAGTTGTTTTTATATGAATCTGCACAGCTAAGAGCGTATAACTCACCCTTGGCTTTTCCAGCGTGTTCCCTTCATCAAACTGGAGAACGAGTTCGAAGATCAACGATCATAGGAAGAATAAGGATTATAAAAATGCGATTTTCATCCTCAACCTAGTGTAGTGATGACCACGAGCTTCTGGCAGCAATTCTGGAGAAGTTGCCCACGTCCGACAAACTCGTCCCAGGCGCCGGCCCTCTGTTAAGAAAGGTTCTCTATTCAGAGTGTTCCCAAGGTTTTTTGTTCCGCTTCATTTTCTACTGAGGAGTTACTTACAGGTTTCTGGTTAATTATCCTACTATATATAATCCGCTAAGTATGTCTGTGTGTGTCTGTGTATCTCTGTGTGTAAGTGTGTGTGCCGGGTGTGCTGACTATTTGTGTGTGTTCCGTGTGTGTGTGTGTGTGTGTGTGTGTGTGTGTTTCACCACTGTGGTGTGGTGTGGTGTGTGTTGTGGCCGGTGTGGCTGTGTGTGTGTGGTGATGCTTGTGAGGCTGTTGCGTTCGCGTGTGTGGTGTCACGAAATCATGACCGCCCGTCCTAGTAAGTGAGACATTGATTTCAAGAAGTGTTGAAGGGGGTGTGACGGGAACACCATTGGTGGGTGACAGGAAGTGGTATCAGTTGATAAGATTCGATAAGAGGCGTTACAAGTTAAAGGCCACCGTCTTAATAACGCAGGTGACAGCATCAGCTAGCTCTTGATTTCTAAGATATGATATAGGGTATGGGCCAAGAACATCATAAGTGGGTCACAAAAGCTATGGGCTGCTGATAAGATTCGATGTGGGACGTTAGAAGGAGAAGAATACCATATTCATAAAGCGGGTGACAGCATCAGATAGCTCTTGATTCCTAGATACGATGTAGGGAACGGGCCAAGAACATTATTGGTGGGTGACAAGAACTGTAAGCTGCCGATAAGATTCGATAAGGGGCATCAGAATATGTTGTAGGTTATAGGTGTTCTTATAGCCGCAGTTCACAGCCTCAGCGGTGCTTATCTGTCATATCCAGCTCTAAGATGACATTAGAAAGGGTGACTGAATGCGGCGACATCAACGTGGTGATGACTGGATGGCGATAACCTACTTGATAGAGACTGACTAACGAGAGATGCAAGTTCGTCACGTTTTTATCGCTCGTTCGGGTGTGTTTACGCTACCACTGATCTCAAAGATTTGGCTATGGAGAAAATATTGCTATATGCACGGGTGTGACAGGTAATCCTTACCAGATCATAATTAAACGGAATAAGATACCATCTGCGCCACATTTTTATCAAGTCGTACCGCTTTAATACCAAGAATTAGAAGCTCAGCACGTGAATTCTTTCCTTCGATGTACGGTATCAAAGCTCCACCATGAAGTGTTTGCTATTACAGTTGCAGGTTGCAAATGGATGCCTGATCGACGTTAGGGGGGGGATTATATAGTGCGGCCTGAGAACGGGAAATCGCAGAGACTTCTAGCTAAAAAATTTTTGCCGAAATCTGCCTCTATGTGAATGTTCGTGATGTTTTTAGGATTGGTGGCGGTGAATGAGAGCAAAATAAGGATAAGGAACACAGAAATTGGGGGGGGGAGGTGGGGAGGGTGCTGGTAGTGCACACTTTACAGTGTACAAGAATGGATGAGTTTTCAACGTTCAGTTAGGCGGCGCCCCAAACAGGGAGGAGCTCGCAGCACTCGCGGCATGCCGGGTGATCCGACCGCGTAGAACACACTTAATACACCGCAACTTTTGAGTCGCGGCGATATATATATACTGATTGTGTGCGGGATACTGGCAGTTCGGTTCTGAATCAGTGCCTGATAAGGATTCGCCAAAGAAGGAAAAAGACAAAAAGAATCGTCAAAAAGAACATTAACAAAAACGCTCCCTGACAGTCACACAACCTCATTTTACGAGTTCTCGCTGATACTTGTAGGAGTTCGTTCAATGTGCGAGCTTATGATCGAACAATTGCATCGCTGGTTATTTGAACAGGTCTTACTTTGTGAGTTGGATTGCTTTTGAGGTATGTGTTCCCAATGAAGACAAGTGATAGAGGAGTGCAGGAATACTTATGAGCACGAACGCAGTCGGGCTCTATCTCGGCCACCCCATTAAACAACTGAGCGATCCTCCGTTAGAAGTGAAGACGTTTGTTGAGTGGGCAGTCCAACTGAGCAGGTGTCAAAAATAAAACTTTCGGCGGCTTTAGCTCCTTCCCACCTCCCCCCCCCGACTCGCTGTAGAGTCGCGAAAGTCACAGTCTCTAGGTCTGTGGTGAACTACATGCACAAATAAATACGACCACGGGTTGCTCGAGCGCGGATCTGCCTTCAACACGCTAAAGACAATTGCGTTTGATGGGAAAACGCCGCGTTGGGCAACGGCTTCCTTTCGCATGCGTCAGCTATGAGCCACCGATGGCTCATAGTGTCCTTCGTGGACCACTTATTAGGCGCTCTGTTAAATTTCACAAAATTGACCAGGAATTTTGCAGGGAGTGCCATTCTCACAATCCTTGACCACAATGGACACCAGCTCGAACCCCGATCCTCGATCACACCCACTTTCCAGCGCGATCGTGATTTTCCGAACTTATACTTAAATTCTGCTTCTATATTTTTTTGCTTTTTTTGCTTCTTAACGTTCATACAGTAATTACGGCCATACCATACAATTACGCTCTTTCGGGATGGGCGCTATTTAGAGCTCTACTACGGCTGAGGCTAGGAGGTGTGACCTCTTTTCCGACGCTCAACCTTAGCAGAGCGCGGATAAGCTGGCGTCAAATGTGAAGGCTAACTATGTCATCAGAAAGCTGAACGGTGCCCACTTAACATCTAATTTCGTAAATAGGTTGTGGCACCAAGCAGGCGCAGGCGACGCATGACGCCAACACTAAAAGGACCTATTTATAGGAAATGTAAAATAACCAAAGTCGAGAAGTTATACCTAATTCAGTACTAGAAAGCTAGTGGCGCCGAACTGGCGCCTGCGCTAAAGGAACTGCATGTAAAAAGGATGCCCCTCAAGCCAGGTGTAGAAGTTTGTATCGAACGCGGTATCAAAAAGTTCAAATAAATGGGGGGAAGAAAGACTGTTAGCGCCGAAAAGACGTCATATCGCGCTGATGACAACACGATGTCACCTTCGTGATCAGAGCCCCGAGCAGTTCCCGCAATCAAGCTTTCATCCAAAAAGAAACATTTTGGAGGTTTCTAGTATGGCAATAGCTATTTAAAAAATTTTAATTTTCAATTTCAAATATTAAATGAAGACAGCAACATTTTCCTCGCTCATCCCTGATGGAAGTTCGTCTTTCACAAGTCATCAGAATACCAGGAGAAGATCAATTGAAGCTGACGGCAATAATTCATAAAGAGATGCTGATTATGAGCCGCCTGCTGCTCGTAAGGACGTCAACACCTTCCGTTGTGACTACCCGTCTACAGCCGGTCTAGCCATTCACGCTCATTTATGCTCATCACAACGTATCCATGCCCAGCTCGGTCGTGCTTACGTTGCAAACAGTTGATGGATTCACACAATTAGACCGATTACGACTATCGTACCGTTGTAACAGGTAACCGCTAGAACCGCGTACAGACTTGCAATCGCGCGATCATCTCTCGCACGATTGCGAGGTTTGAACGCGCTCGCATACTTCACAAGACTAAGGAATAAAAGAATGCGCATCAGGGGAAAGCGTATAGCTGGCAAACTAGGGATTTAGGAGAACAGGAGAACTAAATCTCATCTACTCCTTTGGCTCGGACTCTCCCAAAAGTGCGTTCTGAGACTTCCAGTTCATGTATCATTACTTATACAGTATATTTGCGCATTCGCTTATCCTCCAAATAGTGAAGTATGAATGCAAAATTGGTGGTGGATGGCCACAACGGCACCTCCTGCGAATCTCACGATCCGGCAACCAGTTCCAAAGTGTAAACGCTTTCCAAGGGGCGCAACGACTTGCTTGCAAAGTTTGTGCCGCAACTAGCAGGTTATGTGGACTCAAATTCCCGTCACATCTTTAGTCACCAAGTGATAGTTAAATACTGTAGTGATACCGCTCACGCAGTACACTTTGTTCATATGCAATTAGTGGTAAAACACAAAAATGATTCATTTCTATGCAACAGAATCCAATTACCGGGAACACTAACATACTGGAGTTCATGTCCAAATGTAAAAGTTTTCACATACTTACAATCAATCATAATCTACACCTCATCATGATAAAAAAAGTTTCAATCTTGGAGGAAAGATCTGTACCTAAGAATCGATTACATGCAAGATCAATCGTAAGAATTACAAGAAATGACGCGTATTATGAGTATTGGAAAGTAGATGAAAACTACACCGTATCATGCGAAAAACAATATCAAAAGAGGGCGCTAGTTTAGAAGCTGTACTGTGCAGGCTCATTACCATCAGAGGCTTTCTGGTCTTCTTCGTGGTCATCCTCGCTGAAGAAGTCCGAAATGATACGGTAGGCTGTCGAGTAAACCTGCAAAAATTTACGGTAAGTAGTTTGTCGATTCGTTGGATACAAAGCGCCAATGGTTGGAGTTCAGAACACCTGAGGAATCGGGTTCAAAGTGGCTAGTTGACGTGACACAGGGTTCTGGCGTCAAATTATAATGATGACGTGGCAGTCTAGACTTGGGCTGCGTTCATACTTTGTCGTTCAGACCGTTTTGAGTGTATGACAGCCACTAGAGAATAGGTATCGATCCAGCGTCGCCGATGCACGGCATTGTTCTGAGCGACTAGGCTATACTTTGCTAGTCGCTTGAACGCTTTGACCTACCAACATCTTGAGGGTACGCCCAAAATGCTGGTGGACGCTCGAAACGCTAAGGTCGATACCCATACTTCCCTAGAAGCTCAGAAAGCTGCTGTACGCTGGCGTACGCTAGATCGACAACTTCACTTTGCCAGTCGCTCAAAATGCCAGAACGCTGGCGCTTGCGGGTACGAACGGAACGCACCTGCACACATTCCATTTCACTATTACCTCCAAAAAGAAAAAAAGACAACCGACAAATTACTTTCTCCCGTTTCAAGTTTTGAGGATCACTACTAGGTCGTGCTCACTATTCAATGGGTCCACATAAGCAGCACTCCTATTTCGCGACTAAAGCGATCGAGTCGCTCGGTTTGAGGATCAGGTAGTGCAGCCGACTGCGCTTCACCGCTCACCATTGACATACTAGGATTGCTGACTCAATAACATTTAGGCAGAACTTTTTTTGACCGCTGCAGCGACCACAGGCTAGAGCACGGTCGGCCGCGGCTGAATCGCTCAATTCGCAGAGTATTAACGTATCCTTATTCTTCCTTCATAAATCGATTTTCAAGTGATGCCTTTGATTCTTAACTCAATTGACCTTCAACGGTTGGAATAGAATGGAGCAATTTGGTAAACATCGGTTTTCAGATGAGGCTGTGAAACAAACGGTACAGTGCGTAGAATGCAATGAGACAACTCTCTCGAAACGAGTTTTTTGTCGGGTTATCTAACCAGGCTAACTTGCGCGCGATGCCGAACTCGATTGTCTTCAATAACGTCCCAAGAAGTCACTATGGCTGACAACGAATGGTCACATTCTGCGAACAAGAGAAGCATAGATACCTTATCCGACTCAGACTCTTGAAGACGTTCCAGGTAATCCAGTCCATCTGCTTCCTCTACAGCTTCACGAACCTCGTCCAGTCTCTCAGGTATGCTGAAGCACAAATCAATCAATTAGAGCGCATTCATACTACGCGAGAGCGCGACTGGATCGCTCGAAATTGCATGGTCCGGTCGCTAGACATGATCGCGCGATCGGATCGCTCGACCACGACCGAGGCAACTCCGGCGCCACAACGACGGAATTCAAATTGGACCGCCTTTACATTTTTTACATCCGATGGCGCGATTCAATTCGCGGGATCAGACTGCGCCATCGCGGAGTATGAACGCGTTTTTACTCACGGAACTTACAGAGAAAGAGAGAAAACAAAATGGAAAAATTGAGACTCACCATGTAGACACTGTGGTCAGCAACGTGTAAAGAGTTTCAAGCGCATTATTGAGTAAATCTACATTGCTCTGTTTGAGAGCACTACACAATGCTGGAATCGCGTTGTCTTGGAGAAGAGTTAGAATCTGCTTAGAATTACCGCCTTGGGCCAAGTTTGCCACAGCCCACGACGCTTCGAATTGACATTTGAAGTCACCCTAAAAAAATGACTTTTGAAATGCCCCTGTACGTGCTCTACAGTGAACCAACCGAACGCAACACTTCAATAATGAAAGGCATAATTCCGGCGTCAATAACCGCTTGGATTTGGGATTGAGTACCAGCAATGATGTTAGAAACGAGCCAGCAACACTCCTTCACAACCGTGGTCGACCTTGATCGTTCCGACAACGGAATGATCTCGTCCAATGTCTTCAAATCCACAACACACTATAAAAACGATTGGTGAAAAAATTAGAGAAAATTATGCTTCAACAGAAATCTCGTGAGTCTGCACTGGGCAGAAGTGGAGAGGGTGATATGAATGAGAAAGTCCATACATGGTTGCATGAAAAAAAACCATTTCATCTTTAGGACACACCGAACGACAACCTGGAAGGAGGATCCGTGGGCAAGGTGTGGAAGCTCATTAGGCTCCCGCACCTTAAGTATTTGGCAGTGAAGTTGGCTTTTGATGACATGATGTTCCCGTTTTCACCGTATAGGTGCACCGCACTGCTCGATTGCTTTTGACAGGGATACGCTCTGTTGTGCTTTGACTGAGGCTGTCGACACTTCCAGAGGAGATAGTAGATCCCACGCAAAAATGTTGAAAAATCGAAGTCATTGAATATTTTCGCAGTGAGAGATGCAATGACAGAGAGCAGACTAGTGGTATCGCGTGGTCGTATGAAGTATCAGTTGGCGAGCGGAGAAAACAGAAGAAACAGGCAATCGCAATCCTTCCGCTTACATTTCGTACATTTTGAATGATGATACTGATAGAATTTTGTGAACAGTTCCACACTGTGCACAAAAACGATTCACATCTCAGGTTATCGCACAATGTGTCCACATCCATAGCGTACAATTTGCTGCGTTCATACTTTGCGTCTTCGCGTTGAACGCACGGCAGCATCATAAGCGTTTCGAGCTACTAGTAAAAGTAAAGGTATCAATTTAGCGTTTTGAGCTTACGCAGTTATAAACAAC